TCTCAACGGATTCGACATCAATATGAACATCAACAATGATTTAGATGATTTCTACAAGTAATTCGGATCGATTTGTCTGTCTTGATACAATACAAGCATATTTGAAATAAAATAAAATAAAAAACCCATTGTTTGAAGACCTTTTAGCTCAAGAATAAATAAGGGTAGGCATGCAATTGAACTTCATAGCATTGCTTTTGTCGGGGGAATGAGCGAGAAGGGAAGTCAAAAAAACCTAATTTTTTTGGGGTTAGAAGGGAAGATGAATAAACCCAATTCTTTGTTGTTGAAGGAGAAGATGGAAAAAATCCTAATTTCTTTGTCAAGAGAAGGGGTGGTTTGTTATTGAAGGAGAAGATTCAAGAGAAAGGGGCGGTTTATTGTTGAAGAAGAAGATGAAAAATCCTAATTTCTCTTTCAAGGGAAGAGGACGGTTTGTTGTTGAAGGAGAAGAGAAAATTCCTAATTTCTTTTTGGCAAGCAAAGGGGCGGGATAGGAGGAACAAAAAACCTAAAAAGTGGTGCCAAGTGAGGGGTGGGAGTATGAAAATTTTGTTTCTCGTTTGAGAATCAAAATTAAATTTTAAAAGTTGGGGTGGTTTTACCAACCGCCTAATAACTTTTTTGAAAAAACCTATTACTAAATATATGTTACTAAATATTGAGACGGTTAAGACAACCGCCTCAATAATTCCGCCTCTATGCCACAATTATGGTGTAGTGTGTGTAGAATTTTTATTGCTAAATCAAAGTATGCGATCTTCTTTTAGGTTTGGTATTTTTCATAAAATTTTCATTATTGCCCTTTTTTTGTCAATATTTAGTGATGGAGTGACCAACGTTAACTCATACTCGTTAAAATTCCTAGTAAATATGTTATATCCATCACTATTTAGCAACGAGTATATGTATCCATTGTAAATGTGTTTAATTTTTGTCGCTAATTCAATCGTTGATATGTCACTAAATGAAGAATTTTTTTATAATAAATTAATAGTCGTTTAATGTTAATGATAATTGTAAACAATTAAAAATACATATTATTAAAATATGAAATATTATTTAATAAAATTAAAATAATATAAATTGAAATCAAATAAAAATATAAATGCGTTAAGGTGTACAAAAAAATTAAAAAAAGAAAAGAAAAGAAATCTAGTCATCCTTCTCATCATCATCATCTCCTACAACATCTTCCGATTATTGGGTAATGAGAGGAACGACCGATTCCCGAGTTGTGAGGGGTCGGCATAAAGCATACAAGTTTGCTACGGGTCTCGTATCATCCCCATCACAATCTCCATCTAACTCTTTAGTGTATCGAATTTACCCCTTTGTTCTTGAAACCGTCGATTATAGTCAACCCGCATCTCTTTCATCCTATCTTTGTATTGGGCGGTAATCTCTTGAATATTACCAATAGGGTGCCATGATGTGGTAGAAGAAAGGCCGATGTCGAATGCGAGTAATATTCGGACACTTGTGATCCGAGTTGTATACTCTCTACTTCTTCTTCCTCTTACAGACATTGAAAGATATTTTGATCACGTCGATGTTTGGAGATGATGCATCGGCCTCATATTGCTCCTTATAAGTCGCTCTTGCAATAACAACATGTGATCATATGCCAATTGTAATATTAAATTATAAATACATTTTTTAGATTATATTGATAGATGTATGTTTAAAAAAAAACACCTCGTAAGGCTTTAGGTTACGACCCAATTTATTATGCTTGTAAAAATAAACAAAATAATATGAGATGCAATAAATGCAAAAATTAATTTATAACATAATAGATAATAAGATTTACCAAATGTTCGAGTGTGCTCAACCAAAGTACTTCTACATGAAGAAAAAAATAATATTAGTACTTTTTATGCTAAATTAATATTTTAAATAGAATATAAATAAATAATTAGAATGTCACTCTAAACTCATTAAAGTAGAAGTTTTTCATCTCTATGGAGATAGACTTTCATGTGGAGCCGACGAGGTCCAATCATTCTTTGAAAATTATGATGATTTTTATGGAGCACTTGATGAAACGAAATTGCCGAAAAAAATAAATAAATAATAAATAAGTAAATTAATCATTTCAATATAAGATATGAAAACATAAAACTAATTATCATATATAAAGCATATTATTTATCAATTATTGATGACCCTAATGGTCCTCATTCGGTATTAGATCAATAGAGTTTCATGGAGATAAGAAAATCTTTAAGAGGACCTCCATAATCGGTGGCACTACCAACAAGAACACTATTGGTAAGGGAATTATTGGCAAGGACACTACCTAAAAGGGTAATACTAGAGGGGATACGGACATATTTGTGTAACTATTAAGTCCATAACCCCATATATTAGCACTAGCATTGCCACGGCCACATATTACACTACGCTATTATCAATGGCACCATCACGAATACTATCAATATCGTTGCCATGACCATAAACACTATTGCTATTAGAGCCACGACTATTATGACTATGACCAAATCTGCCTAATCTATAAGGCATAACTCTAGAATAACACCCGAAAGAGTTTAACAAATACAAGAAATGAATAATAATTTGACTAAAAATATATTATAAATTATTTTCATAAAAAAATTTGATAAAGTCTCTCCTATAAATTGGATACTTCCTTATTACTAGAGACACTACATGCATAAAATTCAATACATTCAAAATGCATAACAAACATCAAAAAATACATAATAGACAAAACAATATAATTTAACGAATACAACAAATAAAATTTATCTTTAATTACAACTATTATAATCATCTTATAAATTTTTCTCTCTCAATCGATTATGATACATGTTCACTCTCATCTTTTTGATTAGCTTCAATTACTTTTATATCTATAAACGATCCATTTAGATCATTCAACGATTCGTCGCTCACCATCTTTTGTAATCAAATTGTGTTGGATTTTTGTATAGTCTTCCTAAAATGGTTTTCATATTTTGTTAGATTTTAACAAATGATTATGGTAAATCACTCATAATTCTATCTTTTGTCTTACAAATAGCTACAATCTCGATGGTCGTGTTTCAAATAAAGATACATGACATAATATCTTGAGATACTAATATAAAAGGTTTGTGTATGTTGAAACTTCTTCTATAGTTTATCTTCGATAGTCTATAGTATGGATGAACCCTTATTCCATTTGATGTAGAATCAAACCAATCATATTTGAAAACTAATGTTTTCTTTAATTGGTAGAATAAGATACTCAAATTGTAGAATTTTGATCAATATTTCGTAATAATTATTTTTATCTATACTTTAATTAAATCCTTTAACGCACATTCCAGTTATACTTGCTCTGTTTAAACCTTGCTTTTGTGTGTGAAATATAAATTTATTCGCAATATACCCTGGATATGGCTTTACAGTATGTACAAAGGCTTCGGGATCGAGGTATCATTAACCACATAAGACCTTGGCCAATCCACGTGGCCTTCTTGATGAGCGTTAGCGGTGAAGACATCAAAAATTGGTTCGCGAGCCCGGTGCCATCTCCAAATGTCTTATCCCTTTACTTTAAGTAGTCATTAAAATAAGTGAGCCCATAGGCTTAAATAAATGGACGTATCTCAAAAAAAAGTCTTAAACTTATCTTGTTCTGAACTCCATCTCCCATCGATCGTGAAGACCGAAGTTTGCCTTCAGTGATCACGGTATGGGTTGGCCTGAATCCGACCAGAAATTGTGGTGACTGGCTTGCCAACTGGAAGGAGGCTGAATTTCCTATCAGATGGGAGAGAGGCTGTTGAACTAGAAGAAGAGAGAGAGAGAGAGGGGGCCTCTTAAAAAATAAAGTGAAATAGTGTTTATATAAGGAGTTTTTTGGATTTAGGGATAAAATCAATTCTGGTCCTTCTTTGATTTTTTTTTTTTTTTTTTTCAATTTCAATATATGTTTCATTATTTTTCTCATATTAGCTCTTTAATTGAAATTATTTAATCCATATTCTCTTAATTTGTTTTAATTTTGTGCTGATTAATTCATAATTATTTTTTTGACTTTTAACCCTTTTCAATTACATTTTTCATTGAATGTCGAGTTGATCATCGCTTTTCACATCATTTTTAATTAGATCCCGAATTATCTTCTCAATTAATTTTTTTTATTTTTTCTCTTTTGTTTTAATTAAAAATATGAAGTAATTTAAAAAATTAAAATCCTAGAAATTTATAAAAATGCATGAAAATTATAAAAAGACCAACTATGCAATATATATATATATTGAATTTTTGTTTTTGTATGAAAATAAGCATAAGTAGAAATGGGGTTATTACATTCTCCAACACACCCTGCCAAAACGCTTGCCCAACACCTCTGCTATCATATCCTATTTTTAACGCAAAAAATGCTGCTACTCATCAACTAAAATTCCGACAAAAATAAGCAAAAACCTGCCAAATCAGCAAAATAACATGCTTCCAATACCTCTTCTTGAAGTGATAGGAGGATGAAATGACAATTAAGAAAGACGTAGATGGTGTGGATCATTTTAAAACATAAGGGGTGAAGGTTTTATTAAAAACGAGGCCCCAAACTTGTCCTAAAAAGGTTATAAAAAGAGACCAAAAGTGGCAGAAAAAAGGAGAAAAACTGAGAATTGAAAGCAGAATTTAGGGAGAGAAAAAAGAGACAAGGTTTTAGAGTACGAATTGAAACCCTCTCTTGCCTCGAAAAACCTCTTGAAACCCTCCTTTTCCACCTGATTTTGTATGGGGAAAACAACAGCTCCGAAACTCCATATATCAGTCACCAAAATAACACCAATTTCTCCATTTTTGTCGCAAAGTCTTCTTCTGCTCAGTACAAAAGCAGTTGAGTTTGGTAACAAATTAATTTTTATTAGTACTTATCTTTTATGCTTGCGAATGAATAAACTAATACCTAAAAGAAATTATTTAATGGATAAAAGAAATAATTTTTATTATGACAATTAAACAGTGAATATTTCAGTTCATACACAGGAAGCAGGAGAACCACCTGGTCCTCCAAATAGGACTGGGTAGTCTCCATTTACATCTTGTTTATCAGCTTTGTAACACCTTACTTGTCGAACATACACAGAATCATCATAAGGAGATACAAAACAATTTCCTATATTGACTTGAACTCCTTTCATATGGCAAGTTGTTTCATAGTTACCATCTTCAAAAACGCCACTTCCCATAGGAGGAGCAAGGGCGTCATAGTCTGTCTCGGCCAAACCACCAAATATGCCAATGGAGGCACCTTCTTGTAATCCGACGAACAATTCTTTTGGCCAGTAACCTATTCGAACGTTATCATCCCCAATTGACCACCACCAATCTCCACTTAGCGGATCCTGCCAAAAGATAATGGAATAAAGAAATAAATATAATTAATTAATTATTCAAGTTATTTCTTGGTCCAATATAACAGAAGATCGATTTTCAATGGGCTTTGGGCTATAAATATAATAGGTACGTATACTTTCTTAATCCGTAATCTTCTGTAACACCCTAAATAAATTTTTCATATTATGTATGTGTATGCTTGTGTTTGTATATTTTGATTTTGTATTTTATATATATCTATTTGTTTTTATGCATATAAATAATATTTTTTAATTTGTTTATCCTTTAGTTGTGGTGTTTTGGATTATATGTGTCTTGTAGATCGAGGGAAATTAAGGTGTTTTGGAGCTAACTGAATTGATTTAAGATATGGATGAGTCTTATTAAAAGTTGGGGGACTACTTTAAAATTTAGATATAATTATAGGGGCTATGTTGTAATTTTGATATCCCTTCTTTATGTCTTTGCTGGAACCATACGAGTTCCATTAGTTTTCCCTCTCTTCCCACTTTTTCTCTTCTCCTTTTCTTCTTCTCTATAACCCAACCAAGCACCCCTTTTCTCCACACTTGTTTTCTAACCTTTCTCATCACTAAACAACCCTGTATTAAGATAGTTATGATGAATAAAGTGGATTTTAAGCAAAATTAGAGCTTGAAGAGTTTTTGTTCTAGAGGATAATTTCGAACCCAAAAGAGAAAGGTATGTTCTTGTCATAATTTTTAGTTATTTTTGGATGTTATATGGTGTTTTGATGTTGATTTGTGATGGGTTTGTCTTTTGAAGTGATATTGATGAAGTTAGGGTTGATATCCAATTTTGGGAAAAAGTTGATTTAGTAGTTTTAATTGATTAACTAATGATTGTTTTGCTTTGGACTTGTGTTTTACTAAGACAAATTGAGATTTAAATGGTTAGATTTCATTGATTGAAAATTTATGTGATGTTATGCTCGGAATTAGGGTTTTATGAATATTGGTTAGTGAAAGGGTTGAAAGATGATGACTTGTGATGTATGAACTTTGGGACTTTTGTGGAGTATGAGAATTTTGATGAATTATTGATTTACTTAGAGGTTATATTGTGGTTTGTTTAATTATAGGAATTGATTGGCTTGAGGAGAATATTGTTGTAGTACTAAGGAATCAAGGTAAGCATGGTTCAACTCACCATAATGACCATATATGTGATGTGTATTATGTGATTGAATGTGGTAAATAAATATTTGATTAATTGTTATGTGTTATGTGATAATGTGTGGTGTGATTAATTGAGTCTTAAAGTATATTACTCTATGCATTTACGTCATGAGCATAGATTTACATGTTTCGGAAAATGCATTGAAATCATTTATACATAAAAGGTAAAGGTTTGGTAAAGGTAAAGGTTTTGGTAAATGCATAGTTTTGGTAAAGGCAAAAAGGATTAGACATGGCATCTAGTGGGGTACCCACATCAAGAAAAAATGTATTTACACGTATCATGAAAGTTTACATAATGTCATGCATAACCATGTTTATTGAGCGTTAACTCATTTTGTTATATCTTGTGGTGTACGTGAGGAATCCCTGGATGTTGATGATGCAACCGGAGCGTCTTGAACGAACTCTTATGATGTGTCATTTTATCTAGTTTGAATGTTAGATATAAGTGGCTTTAAGGGCCTTTGGTATATCTTAACTTTTGTCATTTTATTAGGCGATAAAGTGTTGTTCCAATGTTTATGACTCGAAGTTCAAACATTTGTACGAGTTTATATTTCGAAGCAACATGGTCGTGTGCCTTTTTACACTCCATGTCATGTATGTTTGTTGGATCTAGTGCTTTTGAGGACATGAAAATACGTTATGTTTGGTTTTGTCCGAGCTGCATTATATATACGTTATATTGATCTGTAACGTCTCCTTCGATTGGGATGCCATCATGAATGGGTCCAGGCGCGGAGCGCTACATCTTCACTATCAACAAATACTTAGTAATAAAAACTCAATCGATAATCTGAAGTTAGGTGGCATTTTATGGCTGAAAATAGACGATTGATAAAAAAAGATTGTTTAAAGGCATATGTGGTTTTTTTCTTCACTTTGTCATATGATTAGTTCATGTGTTCGTAGAATGGATCCAAAGTTAACATAAATAACCTTGTGCTTGATAGACTTATGCTTTCCTTGGGTAGATGGTGACTGGGTAAGTAATTCCTCTTGAGGAGTGTAGCCTCTAACCTTTCGAGGAAGAGTAGATAGTCATTTGCCCTGGAGAAGACATGATCATAAATTTTCTCATGGAATTTGGCCGTCTGTCTCTTGAAAGATATAGTCGTGGACTTTCTCGTAGGGTTTGGTCATCATTCTCTCGAAGGATAGAGCCGTGAACTTTCCTTAGCAATTTGGGAATCTTCCACTTGTAGAATATGGCATTGAGTTGAGGTAACGAGGTTCATATGAGAGGAGATTTTAGCCAAAATTACATGTACTTGATTGCAAAAGTTTGGGGAGGAACTTTCTTTTGACTATACACATATTTTAAAAGGACTACAACATTGGGCTAATGTATCAAGATCTTTATTTTATGCTCTTGAACTCCCTATCCCGTCTAGTGAAGTTGAGTTGGTTTGTCTAGGCCTTCTAGTAGCACGGCCTTTTCCTTTATTAGTTGGCTACTCTTGATCGTAATAGTTTCTTCTGTTATGAGAAACTTTAAGGATAAGTACTGCATGCAAGTTATGGTTCTTATCCCATATAAGAGGAGCCTTCCAAAGATAGCATTGTACACTAGATGCATCCTCGTGACTGTAAAAGAAGGTTGTACAGTGACGTTCTTAGGAGAGCACCCAATGTGACTGGGATCTGTATGGTTCCCTCTATAGGTAAAAGCCCTTCGTCTATGCCCATCAACTGGGTTTTTGTTCGTTTGAGTTTAGAAGAATCCAGCTTCATCAAATCAAAAACTTTACGAGATAGAATATTCATCGCGTTTTTCTAGTCTACTAAGAAGCAATTGACCCTCTGATAAAAAAGGAAGGTGGAGATGACCAGGCATCACCGTGGGGGTAGGTCATGCCCTCTGCATCAATTGGCGAGAACATGAAGGTCTTGTGTTTGAGTAGTGGTGAGGACCATGTTTCTATTTCCTTTTGCCTCTTAGTTGAGTGTCTGAGTCCATCTTGATTTGTTTATCCCTCTAGGACGATGACGACTTCTAGGAGATTATTTTGGCAGTGAGGCTCTGCTTCAGGCTAGTTTGGATCAAAATTGTCACTTAGGAATCTTTTGAAATATCCCTTAGCAATTAGTTTCTCAATTTCTATTGTCAATAAATGACAATCCTCTGTGTCAGGACCATTGTGCTAATGGTAATAACAATATTTCTTTCGGTTCTAGAGGTGATAAGGACCGCTTATTGCAGGGGAGGAGTATTTAATGAATCATTCCCCTTATATTATCGCAAACACTTATGTCTAGATGGTATTGAGGGGTGTGGTTATGAGTTCGAGAAAGACAAAACGACTATGGACTAGCCCCTTTAGGTTCTTCTTTGTACTATAATGGTTTGGCAAAAGTCTTTCTTTTGTTGCCTTTTATTTGGTTTTTTTGGCATTGAAGGCGTATTTCTCTTACTGCAATGGCTTCTTTCACCCAGATATCCTTTCCACCAGCTTTTTTTGACCTGCTAGAGGTTCTTGTTTGGAAGAGCGTAGATCTTTTTTTACAGGTTGACATTGCTCCTTCTCTTAATTAGGGCTTCTATTGTTATTGTCTCTAACAATTCGTCCACCTTTTGACCTTCCTTCATAAAATCAAGATAGGTATTCCCAGGTGCTCTCTCCCTTTTACTAGGAAAGAGGAGATCTGCTGAAATTCTGTCAGCAGGAATACTTGTCGAGAAACAGGCAACCAACTTGGAGCTAAGATATTTAAACCATAGGATAGACTGTAGGTCCAACCTGTTATACCATTTCAAGGTGTGCCTTGGAAGGTAATATGGAGTTAGTTCGTTGTACAATTAGCTTGAGGATTCCCCTCACATTTTGTACGTGTTCTCTAGGATTAGTAGAGCCATCTTGTACGTGTTCTCTAGGATTAGTAGAACCATCATACATGTCTAGGTTCTTCTTTCTGAAGATAAACTCTTTAGAGAGCTTCATATTTCTCTAGGATTAGTAGAACCATCATACATGTCTAGGTTCTTCTTTCTGAAGATGAACTCTTTAGAGAGCTTCATATTCAGAATGTCGAAGGTAAGAGGAGAAGCTTGGAATATGTGGTTGTGGTGATCAATGTGCGATTGAGCGAAGGCATCTGGTTTTCTCTAGGTATGGTGGCATTTGGGTTCTGGATTTGCCAAAGAGGTACTCTTATGGAGTTCTTTGTGGTAATCTCTTCTAACTCTGCATCTACTTGCATTGTGATGATGCTCTCATCTTTCCTCTTTTTCCCTTTCCTCTTCAAGACGATGCTCTCTTCACATTTTTTGTGTCGTTGCATCCACTCTGCAGTACTTTGACCGAATGCTGGTCAGGTCTGTGTGTGTCAGGAGAGGACATAACTCCTTTTGCACATGACACAGCACGTGATGGTGCAAGAGTATTTTGTGGTGGAGCACGAGGAGGTACTTACGGTGCTTATGTCTGTGAAGTCAATATCTTTATATAGGCTTGAGTTGCAGAAACATTTTGGTGAGGTTCTTGACATTCTGTTGTAGCTGAACAACGTCCACATGTTGGATACTGGTACTTGAGAGATCAGAGGAGATCGAGTGACCTAGACTTTCTTGTTGCTCATCCATAGGTCAGCTTAGAGATTGTATGGAGAAATGAGAAACTGATTTTTTCAATAATTTTTCACAGATGACACCAGCTAATAAGTCCTAAAAGTGTTAAGTTGTATAAATTGATGTGGATAGGGACCCATAGTATAAGGCATTATGCACACGACAAATCTCGAAAAATTTACAGAATATTAGACTATGTATATAAATTCATTAGACCTTTTTTTCTTATAACTTTTTAGTTGTCCTCATTGTAAATATAAGTAATATTACTTGTATTTGTAGCTGCTATTTGATAAAATCTAATAAGAAATCCTAATGCAGTCGTAGAGTAATCATCGAACCACCTAACTTTTTATATTGTGTGATTGGATTTGTCTTTCTATTCTATTCTTTTACTTGATTCATTTTTTAACAACAAACTCGATCAATAATCAGGAGTTATATGACTCTTTATGGCTAGAAATACATGATTGAGATTACTTGTTTCTTGTATTTCTTTTTGTGTGATATGCCTACAAAACATGTTTTTCTAGAGGATTGAGAAAACCTTTGATGGTGAAGTTAGCAATCGAAGAGAGGTGAGGCCTTATTAGGCTTTTCAAAGTGACTTTGTGTGTATGTGATGAAGAAGATGACTAATATGTAATTTTCGAGTGCATAAATTGAAAACTTAGAAGCTTTAGTGGTTAGAGTTCATATATAGCCAAGGTTTTGTCGAGTTGCATAATAAAGAGGGCAAAATGGTTTATTCCCTTGCTTTTGGTAGTCCTTAATACTAAATTGTATTACCTGTATTCTTGATGTGACTTGTTTTCTAATCATGGTGGTATTATAATAGTTGGTGTGGATTAGACAATTATAATCTTGAAAGAATGTTTTCATTAATTGCTCATCCTGGACCCTAAGAGTCTTTGTATTTTCTCAGACCTCCTATCAATCCTTGAAGGAGAAACTAATCTCATCAATGGATACAATATATATATGAGAGGTCTAGATTGACACACATCGATTGGGCCCATTAGCGGGATTGATGTGTCATCTGGCTCATTAGTTTCTACTTATTTAATGTTAAAATAATCTGTAAACTAAAAGATTTGCTTATTTTTTACTTATCGTTGAACTTTCAAAATATTTCATTTAGTAAAAAAAAAAAAAAAAATGGATGGAGTGAATTAACCTTACCATAGTTAGCATAAACCACTCAAAAAATTGGGTTCCGTTGACGGTGGAGACTATGGGGAAAGGTGCATCTACAGGAATGTCTTTATTGACAACCACGAATCCTGGATACATTGTACCGTAAGAGTGATCCCTGCTTCCATTAGGATATATTTGCTGCAAAAAACACAATAACTCATTCGCCATATTTCAATTGGCAAAACATAGAATTACTGATAAAACTAACAAATAGAACTACGGATTAAGGAGTATGTCATTTACATCCCACTGGGTGAATAATCTTGTCTGGTAATCAAGGTTCATATGCGGATAAACCTGTGAAAAATGACATGAATTATTAGGTTGACATAAATGTATATAAAGGAAAATAAACTGTTAATTAATTAAGGGAAAGAAAATGCTATACATTCGAATAACCATTCCACACAAACCGAAGTTGCGGCAAGTGAAAAATAATAAATATTGTGGATGAAAAATATAGTAGACACGATTCTATGAAAATTCTATATCATTGGTTTGTACGCATAGCAGCAAAGAAATTGTGAGATTATAACATAATCTAATGTATTCGATTGTGACATGATTGTATGAAAATTCTATATGATTTGTTTGTACGTACGTAGTTACTGGCTAGTTAGTTTACCATCCATCCAGCTTGAATAATACCCACTCGATCAGAATTTCCATTTTGAACCGTAACATAAGCTGCACTTTGTTGGTATTCTTGAACAGCAGGATTGTATAGGTTTATGTGAGCTGCAACTCCCTTTTATAATGTATCTTGTGGTGGATACGAAAAAACTCCTGCAAACTGCAAACAGAGAGTAGGAGTTTAACTGTCCAATTTTTAAAATTTCTAGCTTCTGAACTTGAAAACAAAAACGATTTGCTAGATGCTTCCCTATATATCATTGAAGAGAAAACTACAATTTGAATGTTTAATTTTTAAATCTTTTTTTTTTTTTTTTGTCCAACTAGTAAATCCTTCTATTTAAGTGTTTATTATTTATTTATTTATTATTATTATTATTATTTTAACTTCTATGTGAGTGTTTATAATCATTTAAAACTGAAAAATAGACATGTATTTTGAATGAACTACCATGTTGCAGTTTTTAATTGACACATGAAAAATAGATGCTACTTGGATTATTTAGAAAAAAAACAATTTGATTGTATAGAGTTAAATAGTTGAAATTTGAGTTCAATTTAAAAGACTTAAAGCCTTGTAATAGGTGTCCATTCTCAACCTTATATATTAATCATTTTTGGTTAACTATTCATTGTGGGATTTGTGCTCTAACCGATTGTCTAAATTTTGATTATTTTTTCATTTGAATGTCCAATATTCGATTTTTTTTTCTATTTGATTTTCTTTAATCATTTGAGATTGAAAATACCGACATGACCAATGTCACCGACACCCGACGAGTCTTTAACTTATACATGTCAAAAATGGATCTCATTCACATTTATTGAGAAAAAAATAAAAATATATATAATTTTTTATAACATAAAATAGTTAGTAAGAATTTTGAAAAATCAAATTCAATTACTTTTATCGAAATGAAATCGAATTGTTTACATGATCAAAACCTAAAATTCTTAGATTAGGAAAAAGAAATGTTTAAATGTTGATATCTTGAAAGGGATTTCGACCACAAAAGTATTTTTCAGATTCGGATGACTAAGAGAATTCAAATTAAAAAAAAAAAAAAAAACATTGAACATAAAAAAGTTAGGCATGAAAATTGTATTTTTCTGAAAAAATGATATATTTTTTTCATAATAAGTGAAGTGGAATCAACTTTTTGTTGTATTAGTTAAAAATTGCCACATGTAATTTATGCTAGACACATCAGCATTTTTTAGTATCAAGTGATTGTAACAATTTAAATAGAAATTAAAAAAAAATTAAAACTTGAACATTCAAATAGAAAGATTTATCCATTAAACACTCAAATTGAAAAAAAAATAAAAATTATACACTCAAATTGGAGTTCTTTTGTTTTATGCTTGATTTAGATTGTATTATATTTTTATTGGAAAACAAAACATTGGCTTGGAAAAATATGTATATAAAATGAGATTAGAATATTGAAAAAAAAAAAATTACCAAAACTAAATTAACAATTACTTACATCATAAAGTTGATTTCGAGTACTTTTTGGATCAATATCCAATGGATTCTTTCTTCTAAGATAAGATTTGGCCCTTATCAAATCCATTTTTGTTCTCCTTCACTATTGGGACGGTTCCTTCTGGACATCCTTCTCTCAACCTTATTTTTGTAGGGTTATTTTCCGATGAAAACCTATTTTTCTTTGAAGCTGTTAAGATCTCTTCCAGCGCTAAACTAGGCCTCAATTTCACAAATGTTAAGAAAATATTAGCCAATATTATTTTTTTAATAATGCAAATGCATTAATCTTGTTATTAAATGATTTAATAACAAGAATCTATTTAAATTAACACTACCAGTTTTAAACTTTTTCCAAGATAAATTAAGACGCAAGAGTAAAAATACTGGATATCAACCTTGACTTCGTGATCCTTAAGCAAGGGATGGTGAAGAGAAGGTTGTTTGCTTATCTCCACACAATCATATATGTCTCCATACTCTGTCTTCAATAAGAAAATAAATAAGTGAGGGAAAATAAAAAACAAAACAAAAGATTCTTAACTTACAAATCGATCTCTCACATTAATAGTTTGTAAGCTGTGCTTTCTTATTGCTTCAAGCTCTTTCCCCACCTCTACATCGATGGATATTGTTCTTCCATTCACTGCATATCGACTTGACAGAAGAGATACTGTCAAAAGAAGAGCTGCGAGTTTGAGCATCTTCGTTATGATCTCTCTGGCCATCTATTTCTCCCAACTCTCAATGTACTAGCTAGGTGAACTATATCTTTATATTGCCCTTTATCTATCTATCTATCTATTCAACTAAACTCTCACAGTGAAAAAGATGCATTTTGGTGAAACTATCAAAGTTTTTTCTTTTTGCTTTTCTGGTGAAACTAACTACGTTGTCTGTTAGTGTTTGAATCCTAACTTTTTTCGATTCCTTTCTAGTTTCATTGTATGTTAATTAATGAGCCCTAGTTACTATTAATGGCTGTCATTAATATTTTCAGATTCTCTATCATTTCCATATCTCTATTTGGAACTTGACTCTTCTCAAGTTAAATTAAATGGAATATTCCTTTATGAAATATCATATTCCTTTAATCCTAACCATTTAAATTAAATGAAGGACTAACCATGTTTTTGATAAATTCAAATTTATAAATTATTTTTCTATGATACACTTGCATTGATATAAATGGAATCTTTTAATTTAACAATCAATCATATTGAATTGTGGATTAGGATTTTACTTATTTATGAAGGTGAATCTATTGAATTATGAAAGAGAAATATTATATTGTATCAATTAACGTGTGCCCCCGTCAAATATGAAGAAAGAATTAGAGATTGGATAAGATTTTTGATAAATCCAAATTTATGAGGTGATTCTAGTTAGAAAAGGAAATTTGAGAAATTATTATACCTACATAGTACATTACAGATAGGCTAACGTCTAAATTTCTAATTGGGAGTACAATAGAAAGGAATAGAAAAAATAAAATAAAAAACGATCCAAATAAACAAAGAATGGTAAAAAACCAAGGACCAAAGTGGAGAATGATGAGACAATAAATGATGAAAAATATTAACTTAATTGAAACGCCGTCGTTTTGAGCAGGGGAATGATTTCTAGGTACTATTCATCTCTTTTTTCTTCCCCCTGCTTTTTATTCTTCTTATTTCCTTCAAGTTTTCTTTCTTTTATGCTCACAAAATTCCTGGCAAAACCTCTCTTGCTTACAATCAAATTATTACTCATTATGATCATACTAACAATATTATAAATCAAATACAATGATAATAGAGTATCAATATTTGTAAGCTCTTTCACTAACTATAAAGAAAAAAATACTCATATTCTTTATAGTAAGTAAATTGCATCTACAATCGTCTATGTAAAAACCTAAACCATAAGAAAAAAAAAAAATTCTAATTTTTAGCGTTACAATAGGTTCTAAAAAATACCCTCAATCGAATTTTTATATATCCTATACAATTCCCTCTTTTTTATACTTTACATACAAACAGTTAAACACCTATACTAAAAAATCTTTTTAGGTCAAGTTATCATCTTCTAACTATTAATTTGAGCGTCAAAGAATCATTCACCTAATAAAAGAACTTATTTTGTAAGTCTACGGTAAAAAAGTGTTTACATCACATGTTATGACCATCAGACTATCATCACAGTCTGTGTATGCAACCTTTTTTTAATTTTACTAGATGAATCCATATGTGACTGATCAGGTCTAAAAGTAGGACAAATGAAATAGAAGTTCTCATGATTGTGGTTGTCTTTTGTTATATATGAACAGGCTTTATATTCAGAATACTTCCAAATAATTTTCCATTTAATATTATATTGGGTTGGGTTAAAATTTATATAAAATGAAAAGGTGTTGCAGAAGTCGGCCTTCGGCTTAGCAAGGGGCGAGCTAGAATAATTATTTCGAGAGGATCAAAATTAATATTACCGATCACACACACACACACATATATATATAGTGTGTGTGTATTTTAGAAACATACCTGAATTTCCTGGTTCATCGTCCAAAATAGTTAATTTATTAAGCAACATTTTTTTTTAAATTCCCGAATTTCATTCAAGAAACAAGAATAGCTACATCCGAATCTCACAATGGACGGAGTTACATCTTCCATAATAATAGATTTATGAGTGACCTACTTTGCTAAATTAGATAAAGTAATGAACTACTTGGTTGTATGTCCTCCTAACTTGTTTACATTCAAAAGCTTGAAAACTGATGCTAAGAAATTATAATCTCTAAGAATAACAGACAGGCAATCCTCATTGTCAAATAATTTATCCAGTAGATTGAGAAGCTGTAGACAATCCGTTTCCGATATATGATTGGAGAAGCCAACTTCCGTAGATAGAAGATGTCCATAAAAGGAGGCTTGAGCTTCTGCAATGGCAATTGATGGTTGTGTCTGTAAGAGTTTGTAAGCATTGAGGAAGATCTGTCTCATGTGGTCTCGAATAGAAAAGCCTGTTCTGCAATCATGAGGAAAGAGAGCTGCATCAGAATTAAGTTTAACAAAGCTCTCTGTTGGTGGATGCCATGTTGACGTCTCTTGGCTAGTTATCTATAGCATTAGCTTCCTGATATTACTGAGAAAGAGTAGGTTGAGCTATATTGATTACGCCAGCTGCGCTAATGACTTAGTTCCAAAACTCAACATTAATACCATTAAAGGATGTCAGTGTAGTGGTAAGAAAGTTGTCTTAATTTAACCAAGATAGAGGTTTAATTTTCATTACTTACATATACCTATTTATAATTATTTCTTAATAGTACTAAGCTTAAACTTATTTGGTCTAAAAGACAAAACAACAGTCAACTAAAGGCTAAGTATATTCTGACGCTAGCTTAATTCAAAAACTAATAGATTTTATTTCAATAATGATAAAAACTAATTCAAAAATACCTCATTACCTGAAAATATATAATAATAATAATATTAAATAAATAAGAGAAGAAAGCTGATCAATTTTCTTATCGTTTTTATTTTTTAGTTTTATTTTTTACTTTCCAACCAATTTAGATGAATAGATGAGGTACGGCTATAATTCTACCCTATAACAATTCCAATTTCAGGCCTTTATTTTCTCCTAAAAAGAAGTTTTAGTTTCAGTTGCTTTCTCAAAAGATACATTAGCTAAAACAATTTTAGCTTTCTAATCTATTATGTAAACTTAATTCTTATTTTGTGCTTACTTTGTGCGGAATTGAATTCAAGATTGAATTCATGAGAGACAATGATAATAATATTCTCTGTATTGTTTATCTCTTGGCTATAAAACATTATTTATACACGTTGCTATTACAAAGATATATTTGGAGACTTAACAAATATAATAGATATATACAAAGAGTAAGTGTAGGAGTAGATAACACATCCCTTGTCCTTATAGGTTGTTTTAGTTGCCATGTTAGAGTTCTAGTTGCTGCTGAACTTGCAGGTGCTATGAGAGCTGGTAGAGTTGATGTTGCTACTTGATTCTAATACTCCTCCAAAAATTGACAATGGTCTCTTACCAATAGTTAGTTTATCTCTAAGAAATTAAAACCTCGCAGTAGACAATGGTTTTGTAAGAATGTCTGTTACCTAATCTTAACTGGAAATAAATTTTACCCGAAGACTCCCCCTCTCAACCTTATTTCTAAAAAAATGGAAATATATTTCAATATGTTTCGTTTGTGGATGAAATAAAGGATTTACTACTAAATAGGTGGTACCTATATTATTACACCAAATAGTTGGAGGACCCTGTAGAGACACACCAAGTTCCTTTAGCAGAGAAATAACCCCAAACAATTCAATAGCTAAGTCAAACATAGTCTTTTATTTAAATGATTTCTAAGAACTAAGATTGTTATCAAGATAAACTGTATAACCCTCGGTTGACTTTTTATCATCTAGAGATCCTATCAAATCAGATTCTAAAAATCCTAAAAAGATAGGAGTGGACTTGCAGATATGCAAATTTTCGCTACACGATATCGACGAGACCCCAAATAGAAGTTAAAGTCCGAGCGTTAATTATTTACGAGTTTTGGAGTCGCCACCTTGTTTTTTTGTAGCTGGAAAAAGTTGAATCTTTAAACGTTCAAAATTAACTAGAGGAAGAGTGTGAAAAGCATAAAATATGGCTGGTTGAATACTTGACTGTGAGCTTTGAAATATTGTCTCATGGGTGGATGAAGAAATCTGTTGGAGCTAGTTATCAAAGGAGGCAAACTCCTATTCACATCTGGAACACAATTAATGATCACTTATAAATTATTTGAGCTTGTTAATCAGCAACAAAGTAAGAGGATAATGCTAGTAGCTAGAAAGTCATTAGCAACTCATTCACGTAGTTGGAAATTTTGAAATTTTTGGATAATTCAGGATATCCTTCAAATTCATATAGGATTTGAATGTTCAGGTTGACCAGTAACCACAATTAAAGCAAGTGAATTTCCCCAAATTTCCAGTCTATGCCCACAATTAAAGCAATTGAATTTCCGGAAAATTTCTAGCCTAACTTCAATCATATGTGTGGATATCCTAGAGAAAAGTCAATGTTGTGTTACTTATCCTATTAATTATTAATTAAAGACAATAAAATAAGCGTTGTTTAGTATCTTAGATGGTTAACTTGAGTGAAAAAATTTTAATTATTTAAATAAATCGTTTCAAGTTTGATTTCTTATGTATAAAAAATTTTTTAGCTAACCTTTCTTGTCTTGTGTTCCTAACAAAACAGATTAGTCTTGGTTTTAGACATGTGTTACATTAAAAAAAAAAACACAAGCATCATTTGGTTCATACTGTTTATTTCGAACAATGCCCTGCATCTTGGAGGGCTAAACCATGTCTTTGTCTTCTTCTTCTTCTTAATTTTTTTTTAAAAAAATAAAGCCTGACGTTTATTTTTCATTCCAGTCGTTTCCCTCTCTCTGTGGTTTCGTAACTTATCTCAGGGTGACGAATTCTTATATTTTTATTTTCTTATTGAATTAGTAAGATTCTGGTTTTTTGCTTTTTTTTTTTTTTTAGTTATACCATGATTTAGTTGATATGTTGGACAAAATAAGACTAGAGATGATAGAAAGAGCTATACATTATTTGGTGTACATATTAAATAGCATTAAACAAATTATATTATGTTTGGTACAGACTTTAGATATGACAAAAATTAATCCTTGTCTTGTCATCTCAAATGTAAAATTCTTGTCCTACGATACCATGGAAAAAATCATTATCTCTCAGTTTTTATATTATATATTATCACTCATTTTTTTATTTTTTTTAAAGTTGATTGATTAAATTTCAACTAAGTTAAAATGAATTATTACTTATAGGGGCTTAATTGCAACAACAATTTTAATTCAAGAACTAAATTGCTTATATAAAAAAAAGTTAGAGAACCAAAACAAATTTTCATTAAAGACTAAAATGTGATGAAAATAAAATATGGGAAAAAAAATAAATTGTTGAAAAATTTTCAGAGACAAAAATAAATTTTGCAAAACCTTCATCCATCCTCTGGCGTTCACCATACCAAACACACACGGAATAAAAACATGTATTTATCTAGTTGAGTCTAATTTTGTCTAGTCCAGACTAATCTAGTCCAGTCTAACCTATTTATTTCGCTTTATCAAACAAACACATCCTGAGTGCTAACGGTTTATCTTACACGTCATTAGTTAATTTGCACGTATAAGAAACAATTCAACTTCAATATAATTGTCAAAAAGATTGGGATAAGAAAGCTCAACTTTTTGCGCTCTTGTTATAATTAAGCAATCCTTTTTCAGAAAACTCGTCCAATCCAGGGATAACAATATTAATGTCTTGAAGTTTCTTGTAAATAGTAAATTTTGGTTTAACTATTCTAGTCTCACTATAGTTTATTTGTTAGGAATTTTGCAACCAAAATTCTTTGATTGCAAAGCTGCAATTCTCTTCAGCTTTGCAATAATTTGATTAATTCTTTACGTAGTTCCATAATGTTTCTCATTTAGATTCTCTTTTAAATTCCGATCTTCTCATATTTTCTGCAAAACACATGTTCTCCTTAATTAATCTTACAATGATGGTCGCTAATGCTAGTTGTTGTAGGATTAAAGACCCACTGGAGAGAAGTAAGCAATCATTCCCATTCCTCAGAATAATTAATTTTTTGATGAAACCTCAATAATAAAGATAGAGAATTAAATTGAATTCAAAGCATCAAGAAAGATCTCCATTTATTTATTGTTATTACAATGACACTAATGCACTTATTTTTGTATGGAGAATAACTTAAGCTCTTCTACATATAAAATGATTTATTTGTACTATTACAATGACAGAATGTCATCTATATATCTTGCCAAGGAGAAGAGCTTATGCCCTTCTAAATCTGAAAGGAAATGCAGGACCATCTAATGTCAAAAACCTCGTTCCATTCTGTTCCAGAATACCCGCAGTGCTACACCTTCCCCTAGGACAAGTTTGAGGACGGGTACATTCGAATGGGCACCAGCCAAAAGTATAGGGACCTGGTGCTTGATCACTGTCAATATCAAAGAAGGCTGGTTCACTACCAATCACAATAAGTCTCCTGCTCGTCTCTGGATCTTCCTCACCTATACCCCATGTAGTATTTTGAACACATGTTGAGGAGGCTGAAAATGCAACAGTGAACTGAGTAGTTTGAGTGATGTTAGTCTCTCCAGGATTTCTTGGGGTGAAGATGACTGGAAGGCCTTGTACAGAACCACGTCCAATAGGTACCTGACCAACATAAGATGGACAAGATCCATTGCGAGTCACTAGAGTCAAACCACCAGCAACATCAGTAATAGCAGGATCAACATAGTATTCTACACCTCTTGTAACAGGGTTTCCATCAGTATCAAGCACAGGAGGGCCCTGACCCATACAAGACATAGCCATCAGTAAACAAATGAAGCTCAAACTTCTAATAAACCTCAACATGGCTGCCTGTGACGCACAAAAAAAAAAAAAAAATTACTATATAAGCTTGTCAACCTTAAACTTGATGAGAAACCGAGTAATGTCATGCACTTTGTGGTCTATGCAAGGTAAGATAGCTAAATTTATAGGAAATGTGGCACACTCGCACGTGCAGGCATGCGACTTTTCTACAAGAAAACATAGCCAATTAGACAATGACTTGTACTTTGGTCATACAAGAAATCTATCACAGAGTCAATAGGGGCTTTGTACTGGGACATTTCATTTGACAAATAAATTTGATACATATCCGGCAACATTACTTAATTACAAAGTTATACAACAACTATTATGTAAGAACCAAAAAAGAAAAAATTCAAAGGCAAGAACATATTTTAAAATAACACCTTCTAATCATACATTGTAAAAATTTAGGCCATAAATTCGCATGTTATTTGTTTTCTTTCTAACTTTTCTTTTTCTCCAAATAAGACATGAACTCCAACCAATGTTGTCTATTTTGTTTTGTGTTTGTGTTTCCTCTAACTAATAAAAATGATTGAAAAATGTTACAATTGTTTACCGGTTCCACATCCAGCCTCTATATATATATATATAGGAACTTGGATTATAGTTAAGAATGAAAGCTAACAAAATTTTTCCTTTCCAAGGATCATAACTTTTTATAATAAACATGGTTGATCTAATAACAAAGACATACTATGGTCTAAAATAACTAGTGGTACTGAAGATAGAAAAGGTTTTGGATTCTATTTTGGTATTTGGACGAGTTGTTGTAAAATAATTCTTGTAGATTGTCAAACATAAAGTTACTATAAGAAAACACAAAATTAGCAACGAATTTTAGCGACGAATAACATTTCGTCTATAAAGAGCTACTAATTAATGATAAATTTGTGAGGAATGAGGAGAAGGTAAATTTAGTGACTAATTAACGACAAACCAACAAGAAAAATTTAGCGATGGAAATAATGTCGTCGCTATAAATAGTGGGAACAAAAAGTACCACAATTAACAATGGATGTGCAACGTATTGACATCGTTGATTTAGTGATGAAAAAACAATCCGTTGTTATTTCCATCGTCGGTTAAGAAATGCCAAATATCCATTGGTAATTCAAAAGTAGTTGTGAAATTCAAAGAGACAAAACTGTAGATGCGTCTAAAATTCAAATTAGCGATGTATATATTAGTATGTTGCTAATTAGCGATGGAACACTAAATTCGTCGCTATTTAACAAATTTCTAAACCTATAAATACATCATTTCTCTTCTTCCTTCCCCATTTCAACTCGTTCCTTCTCTTCCCCTTCATTGCTACCAACCCTAAAACTACCCCCACGTCGTCGCACATGACCTATCCCTCCCCAACCCATTCAATCCAATGAGGAGCATCTTTCTCTTGACACTCTGTCCACGGGTGTCATACTCTAAATTTTTCCAATATTCTATAATTATCCATTTTTTTCTCTTTTATTTTAGTTTCTTTTATGTTTATTATTTAGTTCGAGTCGTCTCGTTTAAACCAAAACAAATATATATATATATATATATATGTGTGTGTGTGTGTGTGTGTGTGTGTGTGTGTGTGTGTGTGTGTGTGTGTGTGTGTGTGTGTGTGTGTAGGGCTATTAGATTTCAATACAAGAAAAATAAAATAAAAAGTTATTAAAAATGTATAGAAAAAAAAAGAAAAAAAGAAAACGAGAGATGGAGGGATAAATCCTCTCCATTTTTTGTGCATTTCCTATGCTACCCTAGACAAGTCCTTTAATTTCTACACTCTCCACGATCGACCTCTAGCATGCTCCTTTGCGGTAATTGTCTGCGAGCTATTCAAGTTAACAATTCCAGCCACCCTTATTGCCACAGTCCCTCTAGACAAAATTCCCCTAATCATGCCCTCAACATGCCGCAAATCCTGCAAGCACCTCACCCTACCGCCACCATCTTCACATTAGCTTCATAGCCCTCACCATGCTACAAATCCTTGAGCACCTCACCCTACACAATCAATTCCTCCATGCCTACTAACGACCCCTCAATTCACTCCAACACTCCATAGCCTACAAAATCTATATATATATAAACACACACACACAAAATTCGAGAGAAAAGTGATGGAGAAGTAAAGGTGTTCATTCGAAAATTCGATTTTGTTTTGAAATTTTTTAATCGATTTTCGATTAATCGAATTGTCTAAAAAAATAACTAAAATAGAATCGAATTATTATTTGGTTTTTTGATTCAGTTTCAAAATATATCGATTTTTTTATTCGATAATTTGGTTTTCACTCGTAATTAATACTCAATATTGTATGTTGATTCGGTTAATAACTTAATTAGAATTGCATCGATTTCATGATCTCAACATTCACTCAAAGATCAACCTTTTTAATGACAAGTGACAATAACCCATAGACCCCATCAAAATTTCAAGTAGGCTACAATGCTACGTCACTATTCTCTACACTTTAATAATGAAAAAACAAGAATGTCAAGCAGTAATTCAATTTCAAGTATTCAAAAAAATAAAAAGTTAAAAGTAATAATTCAACATTCCCAAATTACCAAGTAACATTAGTAATTTAACAAAGTAAAAGCAACAAACCAATAACAACAAAGCAATAACAAGAAGCTAACAATACAAACTAAGTCACTAATAACTTGCCAAGTAAAATAATTTAAAAAACTCTCACAAGTCACAACCACCACAATCCACAACCATAAATAACAAGTTCAAGCAAAAGGTTCACCAAATGAAAAATCCTATAAAGAAAAGAAAAAAAATATTAATTCTATAAAATATAAAGAAATTTACAAACATATATGGACAAACACAAAGATAATTCATTGGAAATTTACCTATGCCACTTAAAAGATCAAACCACCATCCATTCATCATATATCTATCATAGGTGCATTCGTTGAAAGTTTTAATAAATCGAAGAAAAAAATCAACACTTTAAGTCTTAAATATTAATTTGAAACGAAAAAAGACATGAAAATATAAGAATTGAAAACCTTACCGACTTCAAGTTTCTCAACATCTTGCAAATCTTCTTCAATAGTAATTGGCATGGAATTTCGAAGCCAATCTTGAGCAAATACAAGAGCTTTCACAATGCTAAGTTAAAGAACTTCTAAAGGCATTAAGAACTCTTTCTCCGGTGCTAAATGCCGATTCTAAAGGAATAGTAGATATTGGAACCACCAACACATTACGAACCATTTGTGAAAGGATAGAAAATCGAAGAGAATTATTTTTTCACTACTCTAAAATATTAAAATTTTCATCCTCAATTTTGACAGATTCACGAAGATACTATCCAACTCTAATCTTTTATCTCCATCTTCATTTTCATTGAATTTTTGAAATCACAACATCCTTGCAAGTGTCTTGTTTTTTTCTTCATGACATTCGTTACATCACTTACACTTGAAACTTTCGTAAACCCACTACTTTGACGATTGAGACCTTGATTTGGTGATAAATTGCAATATGAAGCATACAAGGCATATGTAGATTCTCTCGTATTATTTATCATCTTTTCTCCAAGCCAATCACCATGTAATTTATTTAATGTAAATGCAACATAAACAAGTTTATGTGTTGGATCATGCATGGCTCTAATATAAATCAACTTATTCATTTTTTTTCATATGCCCCCAACACTTATGAAACTTTTCTCTCATTTTACTAGCCATTGAACAAGTATCATCATCGACACACTCTTGCAATTCTCTCAAATTAGATTCAAGCGTATAAATTTTATAAAAATAATTATTAGATGTGACATATGAATGACCCGAAATAGACAAAGTGAGGTAATAGAAATTTTTTAATATTATCACCATCTTCCTACAAGTCCTCCAATCTCCGACACTATGTGGTCCAAAATACCCCATCACCAAGATCCACATTAAGTTCAATACTATATAAATGATGAATTTGCTCATATCTCTTAAAAGCTCTCTCAAACTTTTGAGCTAAATCTAACATCAAATAAGTTGAATTCCATCTAATTGAAAAATCTAGATGTAATAAACTTTTGAAATCAATCTTTTCAATCTCTATGCATTTCTTAAATTTTCTCAACCTAGTGGGAGATTATCAAATATACCTCACAACTACTCGAATATGAAGGATCAAAGGATTTGCATTTTTTAACCCATGAGGAACAACAAGATTCAAAACATGAGCCATACACCTCATATGAAGTAATTCCCCATCTAAGATGCTATGATCTCAATTATTAAAAACATCTCTCAAATATCTAATTGCCACATCATTTGAACTTGTATTGTCTACAATAATAGTCAAAACCTTTTTAATTCCCCAATCAATCAAACACTTTTCAATAACACTACCCAAATCAATACCCTTATGACCATCAACCGGACAAATTCAAAATCGTTTTATGTAACTTCCAATCATTGTCAATAAAATGAGTCGTTAGACACATATAATTGATTTTTTGAATAGACGTCCATGTGTCCGTAGTGAGACAAACTCTTTAACAATTATTTTTTAAAAATTGCTTCAACTTTAATTTCTTATACATATAAAGTTGATAGCAATCTCTTGAAATAGTAATCCATGATGGAATTTTAAACCTAGGTTATGCAATTGACATAAACCACTTAAACCCCACATTCTATATGAATTTGAAAGGAAGTTCATCCATAATAATCATGTAAGCTAAAGCATTTTTAATGCCATTTTGATCAAACTTTCATGTGCTAAGAGTGTTTTCTCTCCCTTGAACACTTGAATTAGATTAAAGGTTTAATTCCGGTTAGGTAGGGTCAAGCATATATGAGTGTTTTTTTTTGCATATGACCATATGAGATTTAAGTGTAGTAGTAATTTTTAGTAGGATGAGTAGCAAATACCTTATCTCAATAATTACATATCTTCTTAATGTCTTTATTTTTATCTTCAAACTTTATGAAATGGTCCCATACAACCGACCTTGGCCTCAATGCTCTTGTCTTCA